TGTCGTTTTCCACGTATCGCGCGCACGTCCCTCAAGTACACGGTAAGTAACCCGATCTGCTTGCACCGGGGACAAAAGGGATTTCGGGAATGTTTCCCCCGCGGAAAAGTGCTAAAACTGCATTTACCATGCTTTTTTTTTTTTTTTTTTGTATACGGATGGTCTAGAGTTCCGCCCAGACGTAACAGTAGCAGGTCCAGCAGAGTTCCGTCCAGACGAAGGACAGCAGGCCCAATAGGGTTCCGACCAGACGGAACGACAGCAAGCCTCGTAGAGCCCCGTTTGTTCCGTTCCGAGGGCCCAGTATAAGAACATTGCTCCTTTCCGTGTCCAATTTGCGAAGTAGCAAATCCTATTTAAGCCGATTGACCTCTTCGTTACTGTAAATAAACCACATTTCTCTCTTTCGTGTCCAAGCTAGAGAAACAATAACAGGCTCTCGGTCCATTTTTTGGGGGGATGCCAAGGGTGTTTTTTCTTGTGTTTTGGGATGCCAAGGGTGTTTTTTCTTGTGATTGTTCACAAGGTGAAGCCACAATACCAGGTTCTTATTATGCGAACCTCGTTACAAAATAATGCTCCGCAATCGAACAGAAACGTCGGGGGAAGTTGAGACAGGCAGTGCTCCTTCATTACGACAGTGCACCCATGCCTTAGGTGTTGCATTAGAATGGTTGTCATCGCTAAATAAAGCCTTGAAAATACTATCCACCGCATTCACTGTATCTGACTCCCCAGTAACAACAAACTCTTTAAAATAGAGGAAAGAAACCCCGTGCATGGGAGGGATTTTTAATAGTTATACGAGGTAATAAAAAGGCCGGAGATGCGTGGTTTGCAGAGGCTGGACAAAGTGGTTTTTAGGAAGCAGTATAAATGTTATAGATAAGATTGCTGGGACAAGTGAATTTAACTAAATTAAAGTTAACATAGGAACACCGCCAGTTGTTCCTCCGGAAATGGGTCAGGGGTGGAGCATGTAGGGATCAGCCCCTGTGTATGTTGCACGGAGCTTCAGCGGCGCGTTTCTTTTCCTTCTGGACGGAACTTCGGACGGGGCTCTAGTGGCGACAGTCGTTCTGTCTGGAAGGAACTCTACAGGGCTTGCTAACTCTCCGTCTGGATAGCGGTGGCTATCCGTCTGGACGGAACTGTAGTGGTTCCGCCTGCACTCTCAACAAAAGAGCAGTCGTAGGGTACTACATTTGGGGTAGTCAGAAGCCGTCACAGATATCGCTACCCCCTTAGTAATACTAACGACCCCATGGGTACTCACACGACATTCAATCAACAGGTAGTCACAGTGAGCACCCCCAAAAGTAACATGGCGGCTGGCAAGCGACAGTGTAGCAATACGAGTAAGGTCTAGCGACCTGGACTGCTTTTCGCTAAACTACGATTCTCAAGTGCGTACGCCCGTTCGCTGCCTTCCGTGCGCACTAAAGCACTCCAAAACGCGCCCCGAAGCACTGGCACCGCACCTATTACGAGTAGGGGCGGCGACGTGAGGAGGAGGAGGAGGGGGGGGGGGGGGGGGGGGGCATTCGAGGGGGTTTGTCCGCGACTGCTTTCGTGCGGCCGGCTGCATTTACTCCGCGACCAGAAAACATTCAAAGAAGGAATCGTATAGCGACAAATGAAATTATGTCTTTATTGAACAGAGAATCTGCTTGCTGTGCTTGCCGCAAGTGATCTGGCGTTTTCGATTGACAGTGGCGAGGTGAGGCATCACCGATTCAAGCGGCGTCGGTTCCGATCGTTCGTTCTCCTGCTCACCTGTTAGCATACGTTATCCACTTTCAAGTCCCTGGTAATCCCCACCGCGTCTGTGCACGCACTATTCACCGCACGGAACACCCATTCAACTGGCTATGGGACTGATCCCACTGGCACGAGAGGCCGAGAACCGAACCCTTTGTGGCTGCTCCGTGGAGCCATGGAGCGCCTCCATTTTTCACTCAAATAACTAGACACATAAACGCGCGACTCCTTGAATTGGGCGGCGACACGCGCCACCTAACGGACAGCGCTCAAACTATAAGAAAAAAAGAAACCAACAGTCTTTGCTCTGAGCCCCTCGCCAGACGTGCACGTACTACATAATGCACACCACACTTCACACATACGCGACATACAGACACCATACAATATTATACATCAACGCGTTCACAAACAGCACAAGGTACAACATCAGAAATTGACACTCTACATTCCTATACACACGACTATTCGACACCACCAGCTTATATACTGCTGTATTTTCTGTGACCGATTAGGATGGTGACCACTGTCATATTTTGCATAAATACGAAAAGACTGTGGAAGATTTAGCCGTATATATTATTTTCCTCTACTGCCCTTAGGAAAGCGCTCGTATCTCTAATGTAGGGCCATTGCAAAAGTGAACTGCAGGTTATAAATCAAATTGAATAGTCGCTACACGCCACGTTTTGATCAGTTCCGTTTTCTCGCTTGCCTACACTTCAAGTATACAAAAGCCTGTTTAATTAATTGTATTAATTATCGAAACTAATTTCTGCAATCACAACTTGAACACGCTGATGCATTTTCTTTTCTCTTTTTACATATCCGAATGACTTCAGCGGCGGTTGAGTAAATGTTGAGTACACTGAGCGCGTGCAGGTGATTCTAGCGAAGCCCGTCCGCCGGTCCTCCCCGAAGCGTTGTTTCAGTTTTCTTCTTTTCGCTACAATTGTTTCTGCTCAAGCGCGTGTCTTTCAAATATGCGTTCTATGCGCTCGCGCTCGCGCCAGGTGCCTTCACCTACAGCGAACGCGAAATACGCAAGCTAAATTATCTGAAGCCTGGTTCAGACAGGTGCGTTTGACTGCGTTGCGGCAGCGAGAAACCAGGACATCCCTGCTGCTTATATCGCGTGCCAACATGATTCCTTGGATTGGATTCCATGCTTCATACGAAGCACAGATGTGCCGGTGACTAGCTTTCCGCACTCGACGCAACGCAGTCTGCAAACGCATGATGACTAAGGGGGGGGGGGGGGGGGGGGGGGGGGTGCTCACTTTTCCTTAAAGTGTGGACGGAACTCTTGCGGCGACAGTTGTTCCGTCTGGACTGAACCCTATCTGACGTATTTCTTCTGAGAATCAGCCTGGCGGCAGCAGTGATTTCGGTCCTTTTTTCGCTTGTTTCTGCTCATTTTAAGGATAGTTTTCTTTTCCCTTTTTCTCTCTCGATAAAAACGCGTTATTTAGCCTCCTTAAAATATGCTCTCTGGCCGACTGCTAATCCCAAAATGCTTACCGGTGATGTCACTGGTGGCGCGATTTCAACACTGCGTCGCCACCGGACGTTCAGCTGTTTTTGCCCGATCCAATTAAAATATAATTTTGAGGCTACTACTCGTTCCCCGAGTAGCACAAGCTAGTAATGAGGTAATAACATAAATAGATCAAACGCCCCCCCCCCCTCAAAAAAAAAAAAAAAAAAAAGGCAGGCGATTTAATATGGCGTTTAACCCAATCATAATTTTGCTACATGTATACCTCAAAAAAAAAAAAAAAAAAAAACTGTTTGAAACCGAAAGCACGGAGTTAATGGCCGAGACACGTGGACTGGGGACGAGGGAGAAATTGAGAGAGATACGAATACATGAAAGGATAAAACATCGACGACGGGGACGGAAACGGGACCTTTTTCATCGAGCAGCAACATACAATGCCACAAAATGTAAAACTGCCCCCAAAATGTATCAATGTTTTCGAAGGAGGAAAATAGAAACTTGTTAAAGGGAAGTTTACCATTAATTTTACAAGTTTCGAAAGCACTGGCGTCACGACGAGGTATTAGTAGTTATCTCTGGTGCTAGGAATTCGACCTCTGTCATTTTCAGTGATAATGAAGGTGCAGAAATATTCTTGTTGACAGCCCCAAATGGAGATGTGCTCTAAATTTAAAAGTTTTAAAAGCACTAGCGTCACGACGAGGTATCAGTAATCTAATCATAGGTGGTGTTAGGAATTCGACTTGTCAGGGACAGTGAGGGTGCAAAAATGTTTGTTGCTGACAGTCCCAATGGCAAATGAATGATTTTTCAACCAGATCTGCTGTTGTGCCCGTCCAGTGTTCTAATATCAGAGAAATAAAAAAAAGTACAGACATCGCACGTGCGGCTGGGAACAACGATTAAATAAATAAAAAAAAATAATTTGAAGCTTTTTATTATTATTATTATTATTTTTTTTTTAATGTTTCCAAGTTGTGTTTTCCGGATCGGACGAACTGGGAGACGCGGTTAACGCGTCTCCCAGTTTGTCCGATGTACTGACTGCCGCAGCTTAGTGGAACTGAATAAGCCTTTCTTTCTTCGCACTCGACGAACTTTTTGGGACTGTCGCTCTCATTTGCCCTTTTAGATATCTGCTACGACAGGAAACAACCCCACTCGCGTTGAACTTGGGCGCGATAGATATTAAACGGTGCGTGGAATTGTGCATGTAGGGAGTCACGGCGAAACGACCTTTCCTTTTCAGCAACAGCTTGCGGAAGTTGTGGCCTGAGAATGAATCTCTCAAGAGTGGAATGAAGTAGGTCCGCAGGAAAGCCAGGTCAGTGTCCCTTTAATGGACTTGGCCGTAGTAGAAAAACAAGCAATAGGCCACTGCTCTCTAGAGAGCAGTTCAACATTTATTGTTTTTATATAAGAGATGCGAAGGATATTTAACCTTAAGGACGCTTAAGGATAAATAAATGACAGTGACCTACGTTGCTTCGATTAACAACTTGATAACTGCCGGTAAGAAAAAAAGGAAAAAAACAAAAAGGAAGCATTCGCCAAAGGTGGATCGAATAGTGCTGCACTATTCACATAGCCTCGGATGGCAGGGGAAAGCCACAACATATCAACTTCCTCTTTACAGTGTTAGGAATGGCACCGCACTTTTCGATTAGAAGCAATATTGGCGATATTTGCACCCGAATGATCTGGCCTCGTTGTACAGAGGAAAGAAGGCGTCGCTCACCCTCGTCCTGTTGACAGCCTGCGAGAAGTCCCAGTCCGGCGCCACAAAGAGGTACCCGCACGTTGACACCTTCCGCGTCGCCTGCAAGAAAAAGCTTGTCAGAGAGAAATCTCCAAACCAGCGTAGAGAACAAACAAACCCCATGCTTCGGTCGAAGGTCGGGTCCACCTCCCATCTACCCGGGCGGGAGTCATCGTACCACCAGCTTACTGTATATACTCTGTTTCACCTTATGTCCAGACACAGCGGACGCTACGAGCTATCCTAGCCAATCGCGCTCTGTGAACGTAGCCCGTGATACTCTTTCCGCGCGTCGCTACGCCCCCTCTCCAAGGTCACGTGCCACTCACACGGGCTTGGATTGGCTCCGGCGGCTCGTAGCATCCGCTGCGCTCGGACGTGAGCTGAAACCAAGTATAGTTAAACTATACTTGGTTTCATATTAAATGGCCTGTGAAACGCCGTTTAATATGGTAGAATGTTCATCTAGATAATCCGCAAGTTCATATACTTGGTTTCAGCGTTACTTGGCAAAGCCCGTGGCTGTCCTCCCAAAAGGGGCGAGAGCATACCCCGAGCAGCCGGACATTCTGTTGTGTCTCAGGCGTCACTTTCCCTACCTTCAGAAGCTCGAAATCCCTACAAAAGCGACTTTGCCCTCCCTCCCGCCCCTGGCTTCGACAGCACTGCGCGCAGCTAGAGAGAAAAGCTACACGTGTCTCCCTCCGACGTGCTGATTGGCTCACTGGGACCGCAGCCTTTGCCAAGTTGAGCTGAGACGGAGTAAGATTTTTTCGAGGCGTAAGGCGACGGGAAACTCGCCCTTCCTTCGAGTGTCTAGTCCCAAATCTTCCCGGCCAGCGCTTTAATAATACAGACGTGGAGGTTTTGAAACAAACGCAGTGATCTTCCCATTTGGTCACAATGTACGCGATGAAACATCCCAAAACTACCCTCCCCGATGTTCGAAAACTGACAATACTCGCATATTGAAGATAATATTCGAGCATCCCCGCGGAATAAATGAAAAGTTTTCAACCACATGCAGATACAGTTTCAGCCAGCCAGAAAGTAGCGCACACCGCCGCAGACGACAGTTGCAATTGCAGCGACTGGAAAGCCCCGGAAGCAAAAGCGAGCCTTTTCCCACGGATATGATATACGACGAGGCAACTCTTCTGCGTCTACCTTCGGTAGACACTCCGCTCGAGACAAACAATCGCGCGTTCCGTCCGGCTACAACGTCCCCAGTGGCCTGCTGTGCGGTGAACAGGGGCCAAGAAACCAGCCCGGCTTGCGACGCGAGAACTCAACTTGAATATTTCTTTTCTCGCTTTAGACAAAAATCATTTCAATTAAACTTTTACAAATAAAAGGCAATAAAATCTTCTGAAGTCGTTGTGTTCAGCATTTTTACTTGAACCACCTCCAGGTAGCATAAACTGCTGTTTAGGCAGCAAAACGGACTTTTTCGAAACTTTAGAATTTTTTTTTTCTGCGAAGTATTTGGTTGTACTGTTTCAAACATTTCTTATATGTAATGCATCTAAACCTTCCTACAAAAAAAAAAAAAAATGAAGTTATAATTGCCAGGTACAAAGCAATATTTAAACAAAATATTTAGAAAGTTAGAAATGTTTTTATTGTTTATACATTTTTTTTTTAATATTGTAAGAAAAAAACTTTCTGGCAAGCTAAAATCCGTTCGAATATTATAAAACAAACTGTGAAGCGTTTTAAAGGAAATCTTATTTTTACTCAATTATTGATCGATGCCCAGTTGTACGCCCACCGAAAAAGTTACAACCACGCGCACGCTATAACAAAACTCTTTTCGGCGAAAACATTTTTTTTTTTTTAAATCGGAAATGGTTGAGCACAACGTCTTGACGTTTGAGATGGAATGATCCTTAAGCAGAAACTTTTTTACTGCAGTCGAAATTTGAAAATTATAGACCGGGTGTGAACTATAGTCGTGCAAAAAGGTAATAGAGAACACTAGTTTTCACTTGAGCATCTGGGGAGAACACAACCAACGACGCTTTACACACCCTAACGAAACTGATCTGATTGAACGATTGTAAGTTTATTGAATGGACATTTGGGCAAGTCTGTACGAGTTCATCGTGGAAAACAACGCGAAAGGGAGAAGGACAAAAAGAAAGGACTACACAAGCGCCGACTAACAACTGATTATTTGCTCGAATGTGTAGCTGGCAGTATGTTCGCTTCAGGCACAGGGCGCACCATGGATTTTGCTCCCACTTCATTCTTCTTCGTTTCCCACTCCACGTGCTAACCAAGATCCAGAAAATGAATCTCAGTGTTCCTTAGGGTCAGTGAAGGTTGACTCACGCATGATGGTCTGTTTTCTGTTAGGTGATAGGTTTCCTTCATTTCTCTACGCGTTCGCTCTTGGTGTTCAAACAATACAGTGTGGCGTTGGAGAACCGCGGTTCGCACCGGCACTCTCGACGGTGCATGGGTAAATGCGAGTATGCAGTCCCTTTCCTTTCGAAAAGCTGCAAAGTCAAGCACCGCATCAAATCGGTCACCTGCGTCAAAGCCACGGTCTCTCCCTTTCTCGTGCGGGCGCTCCTCTATTGGGCAAACGGGGCAATGCCTGAACATCCGACTCGGAGAACACCTCCTGGTTTAAACATCGAGACCAAAGGTGTAGAGAAATGAAGGAAACCTATCATATAACGAAAAACGGACCATCTTGCGTGAGTCGACCTTCGCTGACTCTAACGGACAGTGAGATACATTTTCTGAACCTTGGTTCGCATTTGGAGGGGGAAACGAAGAAGAAGCGAAGATAATGTCATCTACACATTCCAATAAAAAAAATCAGTTGTTAGCGCTTGTCCCGTGTAATTGTTCGTTTTTGTTCCTTTCGCGCCGTTTTTCACGATGTAAATGTATTCTGTATCGCAGAAGAAAAATTATTTAGCGCAGACTTACGAGGGGTGAGTGCAGAAGAACATTTAAGTCTGCTGCATTGACAGGACGAGTACTCTAGCTGTCATCATTGCTCGTGAAGTAGCGGGTAGGAGTACAGTGAACTAGAAATGATTGAGCGGGGACAGCTACAGGCTCCGTTCGTGCTTTCACTTGAAGTTCAGAATGGGGAAAGTTGGTGCGGTGGCGCTGCGATCCAAGTGGCTTGGTTCGCCTGGATTTTCGTCGGTGCGTCGCCGTCGTTGTTCGCCGTCGAGGACGACGCCGCTGCGACATCAAGTCGCCGTTGTAACACTGTCGTGACGTCGACGTGGTGTTCAACGCCGACACCCCACGCAACGTCAAACGTCGCTATGACGTAACGTTAACGTTGTTCAGATCTCGCGTGACGTCGTCACGTTAACGTGGTCCTGACGTGGCATGAAGTCAACTTCAACGTCGTCGACGTTAACGCGACGTCACAACGACGTCACGACGAAGCCTTGACGTTGTGTAACGTCGTCGCCTTCGTCGACATCAACGTCGGTGCGCCGTGACGACGAAGTCCTGACGTCGTGTAACGTCGTTGTCGTCGACAATGACGTCAACGTCGTCATGACGTCGAGTTGCGTCATGTCAACGACGTGAGTTGTTGTGACGCCGCGTGGACGACAAGCACGCCGTCGTCTTTGCGTCGCATGACGTCGTCGTCAACGTTGACATCGACGTCGTCGTCAACGCGACACGACGTCAGAACGCCGTCTTGGTGTTCGTTGTCAACGTCGACAAGGATCTTGAAGTCAAGGCGTCGCTATGATGGCGCATGACGTTGTGACGACACGTCATGTCGCGGTGGCATTAGGTACCGACCTGACGCCTCGCGTCTAAGTTGTACAAAAAATATAGCCAGGGGCTCTAATGTTTGCTTCCATAAACAACAGTTTATTGCTCGTAAACAATTGATTTTTTTAGGAGTAAGTTTACTCATAAACAATAGACCTTGACTTGTGTGCCGGTCGAGCGTGGTGGGGGAACGCAACGCTTTTTTCTAAAAAAAACGGGTGATAAAATATATCCTGCGTTAAAAATTATCTGCGCGTCCGGTCAAGAGTTGTTTCTGCAAATCCAAGCCACTTGGCTCGTAGCGCCCTTTCATCATTTTTTAAGAAAAAAACTCTCCGGTGGCCCCACTGATCCTTTCTAGATCACTCCAGTAGGAGAGAGCAGACGGCGCAGATTCCTCGTCTGCTCGCTTCGTGTGTTGTTCGGGTAATGGGGCCAAACCTGTTTCAAGCCTGGCCTTTTCTTGCATAAAATGATATTCGTGGCATGGCATTTCTTCATGGCTCCAAGACGTGGTACGCGTAGTCGAGCTCAACAAAGATGTTTTGGTGCTCAACTGTCAATGCCCTAGGACGGGTACTAAAGCACTGGGTAATGAACAGGCAATAGCCAGCGTTTGACCTCGGAACAGCCCTTACCGGAGTGAACAAATTGTAAATTCATTTATTCTCCGAACGAAAGGGAAACCTCTCGCCTGAGGACTAAACACTGCAAAGAAAGCGACTTCGTGTTCCGGGTCTCTAAGTTGTTTATTCCTTTCGGTGTTTTGAAAAACACTGAACAAACGTTTAAGGGGGGACACTACCCAGAAAAAACTATTTCTGCAAAAAAAGTTGATTTTGAAAAATGTCATATTTGCATCCACCAACATCTAGAGAGTATTCCCAGAAAGTTTCATTAGTATACACTGCATAGTTAATTTTTTATAAATTATTTTCGGTCCCCCGATGCTAAAGAAAAGGCAGAGGTTGGAGCACTTTTGAACGCATTTTCTCCATTCCACTTTTTGGAATAAAGTTCACTTTAGGAAAACTATCGTTTTGTTATTACGCAACTTGGATTCATTTTTATGAATTTTTCTGGGGTGAAATTTTAAGGAGAAGATAACTATGAGCTTGTATTTTTTATTTTTGTCATTTTTCATGCTCAAGAACTAAAAGTTTGGACAAAGGATGGAAATCTAAAAAACTGTATTTGTGTTTATGTGGCTTTTTTGTCATGAAAGATGGTATAATATAGAAATATAGCTCCATAGTTATCTGCTCTGAACTGTCCTAATGCAATGTAACACATGAAAA